GATACAGATGAACTGAAGAGGTAGGACTGCTAGGTGTCAAGTGAAGACTTTAGACACACACAATGGTCCTAATTACATATGAAGACATATGTATATAAACAATTAGTGATCATGTTAAACATGTATAAACATCCTAATGCGAGGAAAACACTTTGGTCAAGTGCTAGGATGCTAATGGGTTGCAACAAAGGAGTGCAAGACCTCATACGGAAGTTTATGGTCTAAAGACCATGTGTGTTGGAGTTTACAGCTCAGGGGAGTAAACTCCTGGCCATAAACTCTCCATTGGGGCTCTAAATGAAGCTCAAAGCTACTACAACTTAAGTGGTGAAGTGCTTCTAGGCTTAAACAGGTGTTTGGGTGGGTTTAAGGCCTTAAAATGGCCTTGCTTAATGTTCACGGCCCTGGGACCACTCCCCCATGAGTTTACAACTGTAAACTCATGGTAAGGAGTACCATTTGATGTTTTGATGTTCCTAGCTCATTGGTGATTGGTTCTATGATAAGTTCTAGCCATGTAGAAGCATTAGGGGCACAATATCACCCCTTTATAGAGTTTACGGCCTAAGGACCAATCCTTATGAGCTTACGGCCATAAACTCTATGGGAACATGGTTTCTTGGATGCTTAAGGTCCTTAACACTTCAAGGATATGATCTAAGTTGGGTTCTAGGCTTAAGGAAGGAGTTAGGGTGCAATTTGCCCCATTAATAGGGGTTTACAGCCCAAGAACTTGTCTTGGCCGTAAACTCATTTGTCCTTGTGTTTCCTTATGATTTCTAGGCTATAAACACATTAGGGTACAAGTCCAACTAGTTTCACACTTCAAGGAAAGGTCTAGGGCATTATTTGCCCCTTTAAGAAGGGTTCACGGTCCAAGATGTTCTTGGGTTGTGAACTCTTAAATCTAGGGGTTTTGTTATGATTTCTAATGTTTTAAGTACATAACTAGCCTTATAACACACTAGGATGGAAGTACTTACGATTTGGGACGAAAGCCTGAAGATCCTTGAGAGAGAATTCGGCTTTTCTCTAGTTAAAAATGGAACTAATGAAATAATATGGCTCATAATCTTATATATACTCCTGGGATTTTTGGCAGAAAATATTTTTATTCCTGTAATGAACTCTAATATCACTGAGTTTTAGAATAACCGTGTTGCACAAAACCCTAGTGCATCCACTCTCCTGATATCTCCTTAAGTGTAAATCCTGAAGAACTGTCAAACTTATACCCAAGAGTCTGGAACTTAACTGTATTTGTTCTAACTTCTATTGACTTGATATGGTTTGTACATAATGGAAATTTCGGGTTGTCACATAACCTCCCCTTCGATGTATTTCAACCGGTATCCGGTTTCACCCCTACCCCTATCACATATTACATGTCATAACATATTGGTTTCATGATAACATACATAGGCATACTGAGTCACATAATGGCATATCATAAGCATACAACTATACATGCGTGGGTTTGTCCACCCCTTCGGTATCTTTCAATCGGTAATCGTCTTCGGCATCTTTCAACCGGTAATCAGGGGCTAGCGCGCCCTACTACTACCAACACATACTCGGCACAAATATAGCAACCATAGAATTATCAGAAAGATAACCATCTCACCCATAATCTCCTACTGGTGGGGCAGCATTGGTGCCGTAAACCCACCCCTACTAGAATGTAACTCACCTCGTAATGTTGACTGTAGAAAAGCTAATCAACAGATATTCGACTGCTACTCCGGTGATCCTCCGACTATAATTCCCATAAAACACTTAGTCAGACACGGATAACTGTTCTTAGGGTAAAATTACTATTTTACCCCTAACCAAGTCCAAGTCAAAGTTAAAGTCAACTTCCAGTTGACCTGACTCGCCGAGTTGGGCCTCCAACTCGTCGAGTCCCTACCCTTCATATGCCCTTCTTCATGCTTCTACTCGTCGAGTTTAGCAATGACTCGACGAGTTCTCCTTCTAAAACAACCTCGAATGAACCTTCATCTGACTCGCCGAGTTGTATGAACAACTCGTCGAGTTCATCCTCGTCCTTCAAACGGTCCTGTCCTTGACCCGCCGAGTTGTATGAAAAACTCGTCAAGTTCATCTTCAAAAGTTGAGAGATTGCCTTGGACTCGCCGAGTCTGCACATGCACTCGTCGAGACCTATTAGCTCCAGGTCTATGGCTAAGTCCAATACATTCGGTCACTCCCTTAGACCCTCTAAAACCCTGCTAACACTCAACTGGGTTCCTTTGAACCCTAAGAGAAAAGGGGAGTCAAACCGTGGACTCACTGAGTCCCAAGAACAACTCGCCGAGTTGAGGTTGTTCAAGTCTCATTTCTCGATTTCTGATGTACAACACTTGTCCAAAAGATATATCTAGGCTCCTAAGATCGATCTAGCACGTAAAGTTACAAACTTTACGTGCATGCATGGGAGAATAAACTTAAAAGGCTCTAAAAGAAACTCTTAAAATGCATGAGGCTTCCTAAGGCCCCAAAGTCAGCCACTTTATGTCTTGTAGTCCCCTAAGGACCTTGGATCTGGAGTCTTAGCCTCAACCTTGCTTGCACTCATAGTTGGTCGCCAAAATGGCTCTTTAAAGCCTTAATTCATTCCGAAAAGGGATCTAAAACATGAATGAGCAAGGTATAAACTTTATACCTCCAAAGAACTATAGATGCAACACAAACTCGGGATCTTCTGATTTCCTCTTGGCTCTTCAAGCTTTTCCTTCCTTCTTGTGATCACAGACCACCAAAATCCACCAAAGAGGCCTTAGATCTTCACCAAAGATGATTAGGGTTTAATGTGAGGTGTTTTAAGAGCATAGGGGACGAGGGAGGTTGGATAAGATGTTTAAATAGGGTGCAAACCCTTGGATTGGGGTTATGTACAGACAGGATCTACTCGTCGAGTCTTGCGGCCGACTCGACGAGTCCGCCACTAATCCCTTGGGTCCAAGGCGCTTCTACTCGACGAGTTGGGCCTTCAGCTCGCCGAGTCCATTCCAAAATTGGAAGAATACTTGAATAAGATACATACCAGGAACCGGGTGCTACATTCCTTTTCTTTTCCCTTGCCACTTTCTTAATCCCGAAGACCCTCTTCAATTCTCAAGTGACTGCCAAGTTGTACCAGAGGCAACTCTTCTTTTTGGTGTTTCAGTGTGGTTTTAAAGTCTTTCCAGGACGAGGGCAATTTTTCTAACACTTGAGACAGAAATGGATTCATCCATTTGCATTTTGTGTTATTCAAATTGTCATGAAATCCTCATGAATTCATTGTACTGTTCCATGACAAGCCTTGAATCCACCATCTTATAATTATTAAAATTACTAACAAGGAATTTCTTACTTAAGGCATCATCTGCCATGCATTTAGATTCCAGAGAATCCCATAGATCTTTTGCATATTCTTGATTTTGATAAATGTCAAAGAGAGAGTTAGACATACCATTTAGAATGTCGCACGACAGATATAGCCATCATTTTCCCATTTGCATATTCTTTTGGTATGGTCAAAGGTTTCATCCTCCATTGGTTCTGGTGCAGGAATGCTCAAAACATGAACAACTTTCAGGGTAGTAAGAAGGATATGCATCTTCTGTTGCCAGCGACGAAAATCAGTGCCTTCAAACATGTCCAACTTCTGGAATTTGAAAGTCATGTCTTTAACAAATTATGCCATTGATATTCTTCACAAAACCACAAGTTTTGAATGTTAGATTTTGGGTCTGGAGAATATCAATTAACTTTGATAATTTTTGGGAGCGTGATTGCAATCATTTTCCAAGATCCGTGATTTCGAACATTATGCATGGGGTATCACGGAATTTGATTTGGGATAATCCAAGAGATGCAATTTGGAAATCATGCTACTTCCAAATTCGAAACGCGGAGAATATACCTTGAAGTTTTGTATTCTTTAGAGATAGAGAAATTATAATGTAATTTCGAGTATATGATGTTCCAACCCTTTTTTTGAAACCAGAGAAGAGTTCTTATACATGATGGAAAAGTGGTTAAAATCGGTTAAACCAAAAATGACGCCAAAACTTGGTAGTTATTGGACACAACCGATGCCAACATCATTATGATGTCATCAGTGGATTTTTGGCGGAAAATGGCATGACTGGAGTCACACCCGAAGCAAAATTTGTTTAGGTTTAGGGGCTCTACCCCTTAAACCCTGCAAGAGGCGCTGCCCCTAGACCCCGTCAAGGGGTTGCAACCCCTTGGAACCCTGCACCCAGGGGCGCTGCCCCCGGACCCCCATATTCACCGGTTCACATTTGTCACACCGAGTGTGCACCCCGCACCTCCAAACTCGGTTAATAAATGGTACTCAGTCTATCTCATTATTAACAATAACTACACCAAAATATGTTGATAACACTAAAATTACCCTCATTTGCATAACAACAAATTTAGTTGATTTAAATATAGGTAACTATAAACCAACACATAGTTTTAATGGGACAAAACGGAGCACCATATATACCGAAAACAAAATTTGGTTTAAGCAATGTCCTACTGGTGGTATAATAAAGCCAATTTTTTCATAAACTATCTTTTACTAAATAAAAAATTATATATTCTATCATATGAAAGACTCTGCAGGCGGTTTCACATGTTATTAATAAACTAAATTATTCATTAAAAAAATATAGATTTGTAAACCATCGTTTTTTTCTATTATATCTAATCATTTTACTCCTAATTAAACCAATCACAATATTTGTTAATATAATAAATAGTACTAAGAAGATACCAGGTATGATTTTTGGACAATATTTTCGATGACTATTTCGAATCGAAATACGAATATAATGATCAAAGTCGTTCACCCGACATATATTAACTCTATTGAAAACTTATTTTATATTTTTTGTCCAAATCAAACCGCCTTTGCACTCTTTTTAAATGTTCATTATTCTCAACTCTTGACACTATAAAAATGTCATAATCCCACACCCTTAAGACTCCACAACAACTTCATGACAGGAAAAAGAGCCCAAATCAGCCCGGCCGGTAGCCCATCATCTAGCAACATCTCTGACGGATCCTCTAAAGACCAAGAACGGCTTCTCCCGATAGCCAATGTCGGTCGTATCATGAAAAAATCACTCCCGGCTAATGCCAAAATATCTAAAGAAGCCAAAGAGACAGTGCAAGAGTGTGTGTCGGAGTTCATCAGTTTCATAACCGGAGAAGCCTCAGACAAATGTCAGAGAGAGAAGCGAAAAACAATCAACGGTGATGATCTGTTGTGGGCCATGACAACGCTAGGGTTCGAAAACTACGTTGGTAGTTTGAAGAGTTATCTCAACAAGTACACGAGAACATTTGAGTCACCGACTGATACTGATATTGGTACTGATACTGATATTGGTACCGATACCGGTCATGATCAGGTGTCGAATTCAACGCCAACAAGACTGATCTCTCAAGGCTTTGACGATCCGCATCATGGACAAATAGTCGGGTATGGTGCCGAGTTGGTTAACATGGTCAAGCTCCATGATGCCAAGATGGTTGTGTCAGCCCATGGTCAAGGATTTGAGTGGTAGTTACATACATAAATTAAGCTTATAGTGAACGGGCTTTTTTAATATTTATATTTATAGTTTTTCTTGCAAAATAATCATTATATTTGTTAAGAAGAGCTAGGTTTAATCACTCAGGTTTAATTCTTGTTCTCTTAGTGTAAAATTGGGTATTTTATATATCATTATTTGTTGAAGTAGTTGAATTGGCCAAAATTAATGACAACAAATTTGAAACAATTCTATTAAATAATAACCAAATTATATTTTTCTTATGGTGTTGTGATCAAAATTCAAAACAATGAATATGAATCATTAAGTAGACAATATTGGGATTTTGTTCCAAACATATTTTTTGAGTGTACAATATTTTTGTAGATCGGTACACACTACTATAAACAGTGCCTTCCTTAAAGTTGCTTCCCGAATCCCGATGCTAGATCTTGTCATCCTACACAGTTTCTTAGACTTCAGTTCATATTTGTAAATTTCCACTGAGAATATCTTGATGAGTATCCACCATTAAAAGCTGTCCGTGAGCTTGCCCTTCTGCTTCAAGTAACCCTTAAAGAGCTTCATCGTTCATATTAATTTGTGAATCACGAGATAGGTAAAGCTTGTCTAAATCCACTGATAGACAGACATTCAAAAAGCAACTTGTGAGTCGTGATCCGAGTGTTAATGGTATGTATTCCATATCCAGATGATTGATGACGAGTGTCATCGATGATGATGAGGTAGAACTTAGAAGAGCAGCAGCTGCATGGGTATCGCATTTTCTTCTAAAGATGGTCATGAGATAAATACATTTAGAAAGTTTTCATATTCAACAACACACTGTTTTAAAAATAATTAAAAATAAATAAATAATAAATAAGAATCAAAGTTGAACAGCTTAACATCTTTTAAATGTTTGAGATATCCAAAATAAATTAACTATGAAACGTAATTACTAGTTAATAGCAAAATTCCTATTATTAAACGACAAATCAGAAAAACATAAAATCGTATAATTAGTATTATTTTAGGCATTCGTTTATAATCATATTCGTGTATATATATATATATATATATATATATATATATATATATATATATATATATATATATATATATATATATATATATATATATATAAATTTGTGGCTATTTAAAACATCTCATTATTTGAAATCGTCTAATTATGCTCTATTTAGGTTTTAGCTGTGAAATAATTAATATTTTCTCATAAATTTATTCCACCATGATCGATATGTACAATAATACATCATTACATGGGCCACGTATAAAATGGGCTAACATAACAAAAAGTCATACTAAAAGTTCTAACATACAAAATACAATATACATCTAAGGGAGAACACAGTCGTGCAATGGTACGCCGATAGATTCTCTATTCAATATGAAATGTTAAAACAATTCAGTTAACAAGAACGATATACAATGAAATAAGTTCGATCTTCAATAACAAAGTACAAAGAATAGTTCGCAATTCGGAACTATTATGTGAGTACTGGATGGTTACAAAAAGATCAATACTAAAGAAAGAATACAATGTGCTATATATAGACCGACTAAGCTAAGATACTGAAGATGGACAGGCCTATTTCGGAATCGGAATATGTACACAAAAATTCCAAACACAACCATTTGACACAACAAATATAGATACTTAACAATCTCACCCTTTGTGTCAAATCAGAAGGATGTCTTCTTTATCGACTTTGTGCATCAAAGATATTTGGCATAATCTTCACAAGTGAGCCTCGAACTCACAAATACAAACATATCATATCCGAAACACATTTTATATCAGTAGTAGAATTGGCTTTGTGAGCTTTAGCAGAGGACAAGATTGTTTTGAGAGTCATTGACGAGTATAGGTGTTTGTCCCTTAAAAAACATGTTGTTCTGAACAACTTCACCTTTCTTTCTCTTGTAAACAATGTTCCAATGCTTCTTTCGAATACTCCTTGCCTTCAAGTACTCGATGTCTTCTGGTTGTTCATTTGGCTTCAAAATAGGCCTGTTGTTCAGAACGCCAGCAATCTCGACATCCATTTTCGTTATTTCAAGGATATAACACTTGATCATCCGCTTCAAGTGTTGAATAATAGGCTCATATTTTTGAACATCCTTTCCTATAATGTAGAATAGAGATAACTAATCGTAGGGGTTCATGAATGGCAAGTCAGTCAATGTGAACTCATGAAGAACGTGATTGGCACCTCGAAATCCTTTAAACTGAATATTTAAGAAGTCTTCAGTCTGAATTGGCAACCCAACCTTCAACACCATGATTCTTTTTAAATTCCATGTCTCATATTGCGGTTTTGCATATTTCAAGTAAAACAAAAAAAGCTTTCAATTTACAGCACTTTCTGAGATCAAGGACTTTTTAATCTTTTCAAAACACTTGAAAGGGAATGCTTTTGGGGTGATGGGAAAATCAAACAGACATTCCACATCATTATTAATGTCGAAAAAGATTGTCAGCTCCAGCTAGTAGAGATTCGGATCACCAATGGCTTCTTTATGTATACACTCAAGAGACCAGGCATTAAATAAGGATTTCTGAGTTTCAAAAATTCATTTCGCATTCTTGCCTTCAACTTCTTCTGCTTCAAGTTTCCTCCTGAGAGCAATGAGGTCGTCAAGCTCTTTATCTCTTTTCTCTCTAGAAATCCTTTTCTATTAAGACAATATCGGATTCTCATCATTATCTTCTTCTGAAACACCTTTGCCTTTATCTTTTCCTGATCTGGAAGCTTTATTATCCTTCTGATCAGTGTCATTCTTTATAATTGCTTCCTCGTCTCTCCCTTGTTTCGCTGAAGCCCTGCTTCCCGAAACACTTTGCAGTCGATTCAACATTGTGAATACAATTTGAAGCTTTTCAAAGAGATTCTGTCTAACAGAGACAATAAACAAGGAATCACGAGTTTCAACGATACGCAACAGGTGTTGATTGATTTCCGAAATTTTCCCATTAACCAAAGATTTCTCTTCTTCAAGGTTGGAAATATTGAGGGTTGCATTCTTCATCTTCTTGGTAAGAACCTTTACCTTCTGAGTTTGTTCATCAAAGGTATCCATTATTTTATTTTCTGCTGCCAAGTCATTCTGCAATTTCTCAAGCTTTGTGGAGATGGTTGAATTCATATCGATGTTATCAAGCTTGATCTCAGAACAGAGCTTTGATAGAGCTTCTTTCTTGGCTTTCACCGATGAATGAAGTCCTTCTATCATCTTGATCATATCAGTTGTGTTTTTATCGAAGGAGATTCGTAAATCATTCATGAATCCTTTCACCTCTTGATGTAGTTTGTCGACATTTCTGGTCGCTTCAAAAATCCTCTTTTTAGAATCATGGATGTCCTTGGAGGATTTGTTGAAGAGAATGCATTGGAATACTCTAGGATCCAGTTAAGCTTCTCATTCAACTGCTTGAACTGACCCTCGTCATTGGAGCTTCATCATCGCCACTGTTGACGTTTAGGTTGAAAGGTTGGAAAACAAAATCCTTAATAGGTTCTTATTCGTCTCCAAACAATATATCTTCATCGTCATTAAATGGAGGAGCAGAGGTGAGCCTGGTTTGGAATAGCCACCAATACTGACATAGTAAGTTTGCATTTTCTCTGAAACGGATACAAATTCAGGGACTTTTTATTGAGTAGATACTAATGAGGTGGTGGGAATGGTGGAGTCGGTAAAAATGGTTGAGGAAAGTGGAACCGAATGTGGGTAGTGAGGTTTGAACAGATGTAGCATCCCAACATTCAGGTATCATTATTATTCCATTAGATTTCATGTTTTAAGGCCTACTCGATGATTTGACGTTGTGACTCGTCGAGTAACAGCAGGTCAGGACACACGTCATTTAATGAGTGACTCGACGAGTCGGCATAGGGGACTCGACAAGTAGGAGCTGGCAGTGGAAACCCTAAATTTCAGGGTTTTTGTACCTATATATTGGACCATTAGCGCCTCCCACTGTCCTCTATCACCCCTTGAGAGCCAAAAAAAACCCTAATTTCCATGAGTGTGAGCTTGGAGAGTGTTTTGGAGCTTTATAAAGGGATTTTTGTGAAGGAAACTTGTAGATCAAGAGGCTAGCATCAAGGTTTTCGTGTGGATCCAAAGTCTACTTCAGTTTGGGCACGTTTTGGAGGTAACAAGTTGTTACCTTGACCTCTTTTCTTCTAGAATCTTTCATATGTGAAGTTTAGGGCTTTCTTTAGCTATTCATGAAGGGATTATGGTGGGAGCTAGATCTGAAGTTGAAACTTCAGATCTAAATCTCTTTTGAGCCCTAAGTTCATAAAGTTCCTAATAGGTTCACGAAGGAACCCTTCTTTATGAGTAAAGTCCCATTTCAAGCTTAGATGTGGAATTTGAGTCATGCAAATACGTGAAGGTAGCAACTTTACGTTGCTAATGCACTCTAGGGACCTAGATCTACTGATTGGAGTAAAAGGGTAGTTTCAGAATTGTGTGATCATGAGAGTATGTGTATGGACTCGGCGAGTCTGGGAGATGACTCGGCGAGTTGGGTAGGGTTTTGTCCAAATTAGTCCCGTATGGACTCGGTGAGGTCTGGGAGATGACCCCGCGAGTCAGTTTGGATTCCATGCACTAGGTCGCGTATCGACTCGGCGAGTCTGCTGGAGACTCAGCGAATCGAGTTGAGAAATTCTGGAATCAGGAGGGACTCGAGGCAGAGAGAGTTATATTCAGCAAATAGGTCAACATGGACTGTTGACCATTGACCAGTGACTTGACTTGACTGTGGGATGACCTCCCAAGGGCATTTTGGTATTTTGAGTGATTATTGAGTGGACCACTTATGGGTACAGGTGAGGTGGTTTGAGCTATATCTGGAGGTGTGAGCAGTATCATTTCCGATCTATTAGCAAGGTGAGTTATCCTCACTATATCAATAGGGTCTAAGGCACCAAGGTTGACCCTCTTAGTTGTTATATTGGTTATAGTATGCTACATGTGGTTATGATCAGTTAGATCGGTATCAGGATAGACAGTATGTTGTTATGCTCTTATGATCTATTAGGATTGGTATGTTAGTGACCTGGTTAGGTCGGTGCTCTAGTTATGAGAGATTACTATGATCAATGATCTGTGATATAGTTATATTTGATATCTATTATTCCAGTATATGTTACTTATGCGCAGATGGTTATTTGCTTGATGTTTGGGTTGAGGCGGTCCTACTTTATGTTGAAGGTAAACACACCCTATGAGTGGCCCGGATAGACTGTAGGCCGATATGGCGGTCCACTCATACCGAAGGCTCGGGATAGATCCAGATAGATTGTAGGCCATGCAAGGCGGTCCAGTCTGACCAAAGGCCCAGTATGCATGTTGTTGATTGTCTGTTATTGATATGGTATTATTGACGTAGTATTGGTATTTTGGGTGTAACTCACTAAGCCCTCGGGCTTACTGTTTCAGTTTACTGTTTCAGGTACTTCCGGAGATCATGGAAAAGCGAAGGATTGACCGTACCACTCCTCATCCATGTGACTATCTTTCTGGGACACTCTGATGAATAATATTTTGAAAACATTTTTGTAAAACACTATTTGGTTTCATGGTTGAAAATTTTTAAATTTGGCTTAAAATTTTTTGTATGTTACAAGTTGGTATCAGAGCCTTGGTTTGAGTGAATTGGAAGAACACTCGTGTGAATCCGATCTCAAATCAAGGAAAATTTTAGAATAAATGTTAAAGTGGTTTTCAAAATAAGGGATGGAGGATGTGGAGTGTACGATCAGCCAGAGCCAGTAAGTAGACCCCAAAATACCATACATATATTTGATGTTATGATATGTTAGAACAACATGTTGGTGCTAGGCTAGGGATCTTCAGGAATTGCATGATAGACTTGCCTGGTTATATGATGCTTACTAGCCTAGAGTTTCTTTTATATGGAATTGACATCATTACTGTAGTTGTTTAGTGTATGCATCGCGGATGTGCATAATCAAGATCTTATAGCTTGAGAAGGTTTGATTCAACCTTAGGGTTGGATTGGATATTCAAAAGTCTATCGGGTCCAACATTATGTGGGGCTAGCATACGCTAATGTTGCAGGGTTGGTGGAAGTTTCATGGATGGATGGGTCGTGAGTAGCCGTGAGGCCAGTTGTGAGATAGTTTCACCTTCCTCTAAGAGTGAGGGTTGAGCGCTTGTTATGTTGATGTCTATTGTTAGGGTGTTTTGGTGATACTTAAGACAAATATGGGTAGGTTTGGAAGGTAGTATGGGCCCGTACTACTGAAAGCGCAGGACCCATACGCGTAGCAAGGAAGTCACAACCTCTAGTGTTTGTGGAAATTGGTCTCCCAATATTATGTTGTTTATCTGACGTCTTGGGTATATTTTCAGTATGGTGATGACAAGATGCTTTACGACTGGATCAGGATCAGGATCAGGGGGCGGAGGCGCGGATGTGCGTATTGCACCTGAGCTAGTGGTGCAGATAGGGACAGAGAAGTTGGATGCCAGGATTCGGGAGATCCTGCATGATGAGATTGTTGTTGCGTTTCGAGCGAAACTACCAAAGATGTTTGGGTCGATCAAGACTGCTATGGTCGAGTACTTTGATGAGCATTACGCATCCTTAGTAGAGACGGCTTCCGCGGTAGCCACATCGGCTGTAACAATAGCAGGGGGTGGAGGAGGAGCCAGCTGGGCTTTCTAGTATCGGGACTTCAATAACACGAAGCTCCCAACATTTGATGGTACATAGGATGCGATCAGGGCTATGAGGTGGTTATCTGACATGGAGGGTTGTTTCTTCATGTGCTCATGTCCTACTGACCAGAAGGTCAGGTGTGCTCTGAACCTGCTGAGGCTTGGGGCCAAGGAATGGTGGAGACTGACGACTGGGTCGTACACCGATGATCAAAGAGCTACTATTTCTTGGGAACAGTTCAGGGATATGTTCCACACCCGCTACATGCCACGCGTGGAGCGGGAGCGGCTTGCTATCAGGAGTTTTTGACATTGAGGCATGATGGAAAGTTGGCGATGGAGATCACCCGCATGTTCACAAAGAGGGATATGTTTTCCCGGAGTTTGCTTCCAAGCAATCTCAGATGACCCATTATCTGAGTATGCTCAAGATCGATATCCGTCAGTTTGTTGCTACAGAACGTTGTGATACTCTTTGGATCTTCAGGAAGCCGCGAGGCGGCGTGAGTTGGAGATAGATTTGTAGCTGAAGGAGCAGCGTCAGGTTCCGATACAGTCTCAACTAGCACCTAAGCGGTCTAAGACCGTTGATACTAGGACCGGAGGTTAGCAGAGTCGCACTTGTGGAAAGTGTGGTAGGGGTCATTCTAGAGTTTTTCGAGCAGGTGGTGGGTGCCACAAATGTAACAAGGAGGGACATTATGCCAGGGGCAACACACTCTGGCTGATCTGAGGATATGTTATTGATGTGCACGAAAGTACCCATTAATTTTAATATTTATAACCTAACAAACTTAGACTAACTATGCACTTATAGGCAGTGTACCTAGTCAGATTACAGTATAGCTTAGGTAAGTCGGGTGTCGATCACAGGGAACGGTGGATTGATTTAATATATTTGATTATAGGTTACAGGTTACATGAAAAGAATAATTTAATAAATCTCAAACTAGTAATTAATTAACCATTCTCGATAAACTAACAGGAAAAACAAATCTCTTTAGGTACTTTGGTTTAGACAAATTCCTCCTTGAAAACATAAACAATTGCATACACAAATTCATTTATTCATGTTCACCGATTCCTAAATTGATTAGATTCATGTTCACTATAACTAATCCTTTAGCAAACAAGTTAATTCAAACAGTGATCAATTGATTAAACTAACATGCTTCCTAGTGTTCAGTTCGTATCAAGCAAGACTTGTAAACTTAGTTAATTTAAACATTTAATTAACCTCTTGTTGATGGTCATCAAACAAGGCTCACACATTAACTTACTTATTCCCATGTTAATCCTAGTTTCACATTCGTTATTTCTAGTCTTATAATCTCAATGGTCATCAAAATCATAAGAGACAAGCAAATCAAGCAGGTTTTCATACAACTTAATTCACTTAACAATTAACAGCAAATAATCATCATTAACACATGAGGATCTTTGAACAAGCTTGGCAAGATAAATTAAACACAAATAAATTATTTAACATAACAATTAGTCTAAGAATCAAAACTTCATTCAATCATAAACACAAAGTAAAAGGTTTTTACACCCAAATCAGAAACTAAATACAAAAAGTACCA